TCTAAAACGTGATATTTTCTGAGTAAATCACTATTTTTAGCCCGGAGTCAGGAAGTTCATTGGTGTTTCACCCCCGTGCGTAGGAAAGCACGTGTCGCCTAAGGTAGCATAATGCTTTTAAAGCCTACAAGGCTTCTTATCGCCAATGTTGTGGAGCTTTCTATCAATCAATTCGGTACGGTCGTACGGTATCTATAGGGCATCTTCTGTTCAATAATTACGGGTAAATTATGCAATACTTACTTAATGTTAGTTCGTAATGCACCTACATATAAGAGTCACTTAGTACGTTTGCAAATTTGCAATTAGAGATTTTAGCGAACGTTTTAATTTCGAAATAAGATTGTTTCTGCTACCTAGATAGTCAAGTAAAATCCTTTTTTCGAACAACACAACAATCTGTGACATCGTTCGCAACATCTTAGTAACAAAGTGCTTTCAAAATGAAATGATAATAATTCCCGTTGTGTTGATTTATGTATAACCAAGGACAATTGATGTTACTTTGTGGAATTTCAACTCGTAAATATCGAATACGGTACTTGACAACTAGTCAAATTCTATACTTTTTTCGAACTGTCAAAAACGACAGTTTTCTATGAGTTTTGTACGAGACTGTGTATTGTGACGTCACGTTTTTTAGCATCAAACAGCATACTTATTTCTTAAAAATTTGCTGGATAAAAACCTAATTAAGTTGGTCATAAAATCAATTAATGAAAGTGTGATTATTTATTAATATTGTATTGTTTTCAAAGTCGAAATAATTTATTTTTGATTAAACTGTCAAACTCCAAGCGGTCACCGGTGACCGCAACCTATTGTTCTATAATTGTGTCTATAATGACGGTACTCGACGAGTTAAGGATTGTACCTTTTTACATTAGTATTTGACATGAACGTAATATAGAAAAAAGTATTGAATTTAACTATTGGAGCGCTGGATTTTCGGGTCCAAAGACTAAGCATTGAACAATGCAGTACAGCCAAACTTTTGCTGACCTTTGAACCTTCGTCAAGGATAACAAGAGCCATTTTTTATCTTTATTTTTATTATTTTTTATCAATAAACAAACACGTGTTACTCATATTGTTATGCCGTGCGCAAATTATTCAGTGCTATCTTGTTTGAGCTACAAATACATAAATGAAAGGTTTTGTGCAAAAACACAGGACATTCGCATTTTGGAAGTCAAACGTTGAACTTGTAGTGAACTGTGGAACTCAGTGATAATTTATTAAATCTCTTTTATATTTATTATTAAGGTAAACTAAGTAACCATTTAGAAATAATTCTAAAATTACTCTTTGAACTTAACTCACTTCAAATGAACTTTTCTGCACCAACTAAGTTAGAGCACTTTTTTAGTACCTAATTTCTTCCCGCGCTTTTATTCCCGGAGAAGCAGGCAGAGGTGCACATTACGGCACTTAATGCCACTGTACAATACAACTGCCATTTTTCACTTTTTATGTTACGAGTGCTATGCAATAGGGGGTGAATCTATCCTATTGCCATTATACCGGGCTCATTTCCAGACTCCGTGCTACCACTGAGATTTTTTTTAAAACCCAGTAATATTTTTTTAAGAACTTGAGACCCCTTATTTATCAACAATAACTTAATAGTGAAAAATTAACAGAAGCTCTTGTCAATTTTTTATCTGTAAAAAATACATACTTAAATGAAAATCTATGATTAATGTTTATCTATGTAATAACAATAACTGATTCTAGAATAAAACGAAAACAAATAAGATTATTAGATAACACTATCTCTGTCTTATGCAGATATAATTGAGCATGTTGTGGGAAAATGTTTTAGTCAACTCGAAATGTTGGTCAAGTAAGCTCGTACTTTTCATTCAGGATTTCCTGCTACGCAATTAGCAACTTAAACTACTGAGGTATAAAGTGCATATCATCACCACTTTCCTAATATATTATCTTACCAGCCACAAGACCGTTTTTACTCATTTGCGATTCTACCCAAATAGTATGCTACAGTTTCATTAATAAAGATTGTTTGTGTTGCAGATCACATAAACTATTCGTGACACATTCAACTGGATACAAGTACCTCCCGTTTGTAATAAACTAACCATGATTTTCATCGCTATTGTTGTGGTCCTACTGATCACTCTTTACATTTATGGAACAAGAAACTTCAATTATTGGGAGAAAAGAGGTGTCAAGTGTGACAAGCCATACTTCCTTGTCGGGAACAACTACAAGGAATACTTTGGGAAAGCCAGTATGACACAAGTAGCTGACGAGCTGTACTGGAGGTATTCCGATGAAAAAGTCGTCGGTTTTCTTCGCTCTTCGCGTCCAGAATTAATTATACGAGATCCAGAAATTGCGAAAAAAATATTAATCACAGACTTTGCTCATTTCTTCGAGAGAGGTTTCAACCCTCACAACACCGTATTCGAGCCTCTGATGCAGAACCTGTTCTTTGCTGAAGGAGATATCTGGAAGCTGCTCAGACAGAGAATGACACCGGCCTTCACTACAGGCAAACTGAAGGCAATGTTCCCGCTAATAGTTGAACGAGCAGAAAAACTGAAGACACGAGCGCTGACTGCGGCCGCTGAGGGCAAGTCTCTGGACGCGCGCGACTTGATGGCGAGGTATACCACTGACTTCATAGGAGCCTGCGGGTTCGGACTTGACTCAGACTCACTCAATGATGAGAACTCCCCGTTCAGACAACTCGGTGCAAACATTTTTAAAATAAAAACTATGGATATCGTAAAAGGAGTAGCAAAAGAATTATTTCCCGAAATTTTCAGAAATCTGAAAGTATGGACTCGACTAGAGAATGAGATCAATGAGCTTGTCGGAGAGATTTTGAGGAAGAGAGACTACAAGCCCTGCGGACGGGGTGACTTTATAGATCTAATGCTGGAGTGTAAACAGAAGGGGGTCATAGTCGGCGAGTCAATTCGAAAGAAAAAGCCTGACGGCACCCCTGACACTGCAACACTAGAAATCGATGATGCATTAATTGCTGCTCAAGTGTTTGTGTTCTTCGCTGCTGGCTTCGAGACCTCGTCATCAGCGACCAGCTTCACTCTCCATCAGCTGGCGTATCATCAGGACGTTCAGAAGAAGGCGCAGGAGGAGATCGACCGCGTGTTGGCGAAACATGATGGGAAGCTGTCGTACGACGCAGTCAAAGAGATGCACTACTTGGAGAACGTGTTCAAAGAAGGGATGCGAATGTTCCCCTCGCTCGGGTTCTTGTTCCGCCAGTGTACAAAAGCGTTCACATTCCCGGAGTTAAACTTTTCGATAGATGAGGGCGTGCGCGTGCTGATCCCACTTCAATCAATGCACAATGATCCTAAATATTTCCCTGAGCCTGAAGTCTTCCGCCCAGAGAGGTTCGATCCCGACGAGTACGACACTAACAACAAATATGTTTACATGCCGTTTGGGTCGGGACCCAGAGCTTGCATAGGTAAGTGACTTGTTATTATACCTAAACACAGTAAACAGGTTAAAACAGTTTAGTGAACCTACATCTATCTAAATACGCTCGCTGGACCATTCAGACGAAAGGTTGATGAAATTGCACGATTGGCGCGGTAGCTCGGTAACCGGCTGCCGCGCAACGTGTAGCGGGTTCGATTCCCGCACGGAGCAACTCTTTGTGTGATCCACAAATTTTTGTTTCGGGTTTGGGTGTCATGTGTATGTGATATTGTATGTTTGTAAACGCACCCACGACACAGGAGAAAATCCTAGTGTGGGGCAACGTTTTTTTTAAGAAAAAAAAAATAAGAAAAAAAATTCAGAATACTGAATGTTTTTCCATCTTGGTACATATTATAAAAATACCTTTTATTTTTCCAGGTGAACGATTGGGTGCCATGCAGTCTTTGGCTGGTCTAGCGGCAATCTTATCCTGTTTCACGGTGGAGCCCGCTAAGGAAACGATCAAGCATCCTGTCGTGGATCCCCAGTCTTCCGTGGTACAGAGCATCAGAGCTGGACTACCTCTAATGTTCCGTGAAAGGAGTTAATAAGTAGATGCTTACGTCTTAATTGTATTAAAAATATCTAAATAAATTATATCTCTAAGTTTAATATTAATTCTGTTTATTTCGGTCAAACATGAATATTTCTTTGTACGATTTATCTAGGCGGTAACAAAATATGGCACGCCACACATAGGTACCTACGTAGCAGTATAAGAAATCAAAAGGTAAGAAAATTAAACGCTGAGGTCGTATTTCGTTATCAAATAAAATATTGTGCATAGAATAAAATATTGTGTAAGTGTTTAGAGTCAAGTATTGGAGGAGTATTTGTACAAAGTTTAAATTAAAATTACTTAAATATATTTTAAGTCAATAATTACTGAAATAAGTATTTAATGTAAAAGTGTAACGTTGGTAATAAATGAGATTTTCTTTTATTTTAAGAACTTTTATCTTGAATCAGCATGACTCCAAACAAGCCTAATTACATTACACAACATCACGTCGTTTATCCCCGAAGGGATAGAAGAAGTGCACTGTGCACATTATGCCACTGCACTGTACAATGTACTACTTAACACCCACTTTTCACTATTATGTTATAAGTGCCATGTAAGCTTATTGTAATATATCGGGTACATTTCCGGATTCCGTGCTACTACTGAGAATTTAAAAAAAACCAGTAATACTTTGCCAGACCCGGGAATCGAACCCGAGACCCCTTGCCCAGTAGTCGTATTTGCGACCACTCAGCCAACTAGGCACTCTAATTATTACATTAATAATACACAACTAATTATGCCGTATAATAAGTAGAGTAGCCATCGTAAACAAGCAATTTGTATTTCTCCAAAAGGATATCTTATTCGATAGGCATTAAACTTAATTTTCTGTAATCTAAAGTAAAAATCCTCTCTGTTCAAATAATCTATGACTACTTCTGTCCTTTTAGCTCTGTCTGTGGTATAATTTTATGTCAATATGGCGGTAATATAATTTTCAAATCTTCTGTAAGTTCTGTAACTACCTACTAAACGTAAGAAATAAACAAAGTGTACAGGTACCACAAAGTTATTGTGATTTATTATATTGTGTTATTTCGAAATGGCTGCAAAATATGAAAAAACGAAGACTCAGCTAGTAGCTATTTATAAATTAGAGTTTTATAAAAACAAAAAGAATTGGAAGCTGTTCGAGAAGACAGTGAAAGAACCAGACTCGCGACCGCAGACACCAAATAATAAATTGTAAGTGTATTTACGACACAATAAGTTATAAACAACGTTTGATGAAGCAACAATAATGTATTTTGTTGTGAGAACTAAACACAACCTGCAAATGTAAGGTAAACTTTTCTCCTATTTTATTGGTCTACGATGAATACCTATCTAAATGGTGAGAAATTCTTAAGAATACTACGAGGTTTGTTGCCTACTGTAACGAGTAAGGTCTGTAATTGACTGAAAACTTATGCTTGGACGTTCTATTGCGCATTACACCATGCTCCGACTTCAGCAATATTTTCTTATAATGTTGACTTGTAGTAGTGCTATTCAGTTTATCCTATTTACAATAATTTCATTTGATTTGATACTTGACCTCCCTACTACCTTGGCCATTTAGGATAAAACATCAACCAGTGCTAAGTATGGTCATATTTTAGGCATCTACCTAAGTTTATTTTTCATTTTTTTACTCAATATAATGATACAGCCTACAATTCAATCTAAATACTTCATCCTCTCCTTGTCACAATCCTAATCTAAACTACTGACCTTGTGAGTTTGTGTGTATATTTATTACTGACTTACTTCAAAACCGCTGTAGGGATAGTGATGAATTTTGGAACAGGTAGATCATGATCTGGAATAACACATGAGGTAATCTATATCCCAGGAAAGTGCGTGAAACCACCAGTAGAAGTTGGTTATTGATTTTTTTTTGTTTACCATGCTTCCACATAGAATTTTATCCCTTCATATTGTACTTATGTCCTTATTGTCCATACTTAGATGTGATTGCAGCAAACTGAACCGGACTTACAGTGTGGAGGATGTGCATGCTGAACCGGAATGTGATACGGAGCAGTCACCACTCAACAAGGCCTTTCTACATGATGAACCTGGGGGGACAGGTACTAACTTCTTCATGATCTACTTACATATCAGCTACAATATGTCCACGGGGTGTTGCAGAACATAGGCCTCTCCCAATGACTTCCACCAACTGATGATAATTTTACAAATAATTACATAATGTCCTTTCTATACTCACTGCTTGCTGACAATTATTTTACGATTGTGTTATGGGTCCCATGTCATAGTGGGTGAGTTTATTACCATATACCGGGCACAATTTGATATATTATTACTGTTAGTTTAGTTGGTGTTGGTTTGTATTGGATGTTTAGTTTAGTTCTTAGCTGTCGCATTAGAGTATATGATGCCCTGTAATGATACTTTAAGGTTTTTTTAAATATAAATAAATAAATAATAAATTCTAGACTCCATACAATTCCTAAAAACTTTCAAAGAGCCGTCCAATAACACTGACCTAATGCTGATCAATTTCTACGGTCCACTTTCAGAAGACGAGGAAGCTCCAGACTTGCTCCCAGCTGAGTTCGACCTGCCGGAGCCAGCCACACAGTGCCTGTTCCAGCACCAGTGGGGGGACCGCGAGGGCATGTGGGGGGATATACAACAGGTACCTAAACAAATTTTGATATTGTGCTCCTAAGATATTTAGGTCCAGTCAGCCAGTGGTATATTACCCACTTTGTTCTTAGTCAGTACGAGGCGAGTGTCATCGCCCCACCACAGGGCGGGGGGGAGTCATTGTATTCTTTTTATCTTAGATGGGACTGACGTTTGACCACTATCTCGCCTGGTGGTAGGTAAGCGATGATGTGGTAGGCCACGTGCTCCATCGTAGGCGATGGAGCACGTCGAGCCATAAACAAAAACCATAAAAAAAATGTATGACTTTACCCCTCAAAAAAAAAGATGTAGGCTTCATTCTCCCCCTCCCTTTCATCCCCAATCAGATCAAGGAGCACCATGCTTAAGCATGGGTTAACTAACGCGGGTTACTCACGTGAATATACTGAGTAAAGTTCTACTAGTTTTGAGTCATAGAAAGGTGTGAACGAGAACCTCATGAACAGCGTGCGCGGTTGCGCAAACTAGCAGAGCTAGGAGACCTAGTGGACTGCGAACTAGTAGAGCTTTTCTCAGTGCATTTACGTGAGTAACCCGCGATTTTTATTTAATTTACTACGTCTCACGATAGTTATTATTAAAACATGAGCATGGGTTGCTAGTTTGACTGGAGTGATACCACGACCTCGGAAATTGGCGGGAAGCAACAATGGCGTTGTGTTTGGCCGTGTGAGTAACGGGATCCTTTATCGGAAGACTGAAGTCGCCAAATAGTCAACAACGCACTTGTAACTTCTTTAGTGTAGCTGGTGTCCATTGGTGAAGCCGATTGCTTACCATCCGGGGATCCGAATGTTCGTTTACACCAGTCTTTCTCATAATTTTATCTTTTTCCAGCAGGAGTGGTGCGGTGCGCAGGCGGAGGGTATGCCGGAGGAGCTCGCGTACGATCACTGCGACGGACCTTACCATCGCGACCTCTGGCCACCAGGTACACTCGTACAGGGCCGTCCTAGACTACGCTAAAGCCCTTTTGGAACATTTCCTTTTCCATTTTTTAACATCGCCCCACACTAGGATTTTCTCATGTATCGTGGGTGCATTTACAACCATACAAGTTCACATACACATGACACCCAGACCCGGAACCACCCTGAGTTCCCTTGTGGTAAAGATGGTCCTGCACTCATACAAACTGCAGGTCTAACCATACATACACATATCGCACCTACGGTGCAATATCGTCACTTATGCAATTTTTGTCAAACCTTAACTGATGAAAGAATACTCCAAATTCACCTCTTTACTTGGTGCGTTATTTATTGTCATTTGTGTAGTAAGCAAACTGACATTGTGAGGGCATTACTGTCGTTACGGTTTTGGCGCTAATCTGGACGGCACTAGGAGAAACAACGTTTCATTGTTCAGTTGCGCGCGGGCCCCCGCAATACATAAGTGACGGTATAGCACCGGAGGTACGATACGTTTAAAGGATATTTAACTGTGTCGGAACAATTCCGTCAAAGTAAACATTTGAAATAATAAAAATTAGCGAACCATCTTTGAGACTGAGGTATACTCAGTCTTGGTTTGCTAGTTGTGGTTGAGACTTATTGAATCTGAAACAGAGGTTGAGGTTGAGACCAAGGATGAGACTGAGGTTGAGTTACGAGACTGAGACTGAGACAGGTTCAGCATGCGACTGACGCATGTTGTGACTGAGACAGATTAAGACTAAGGTTGACACACGTACAGTATACACGGCTATACCTCGAGCTATAAGTCACTAGTAACCATGGTCCCGCTTTGTACGATGTCCCCGGCCACTGGACGGTCAGTTTGCCTGGTTCCAGTCCGCGAGGTGTCCCCCGGCGCGGTCCCCGGCGGGCTGCCCAGCGCGGAGCTACTGCGCGCCGCGGACTGCTGTCTGCACGACACCTACTGCACGCTCAGCGAACTACATGACTCGGTCAGTACCATTACTTCGATCGTTAACGAGGAAACATAGGGGATGCCTGCAAATATTTCTGGAAGTTTCGAAAATTTGTAATTTTGTAGATATTGAAGCTACTGATGACAATAAAATGTACAGTGGTATATAGTTCAATCATTTGGTAGTTCTACCGGGAATGTTTGGACCCAGGTACGTCCTAAAACTGCGACCAGACACCGAGGAATGGGCTGCAGCATTCCATAAATACATCGATGACCTAACTGCGATCCCTAAGCCACCTGCCAAGCGTGGGGATTATGGCAAAAACCCCCCACCGCCCTCACTATGAACGACAACTTAGATACACGGCCCCAGACCCCGGAAACTCCGCTATTCCTGATCTAGGTAGCGGATCGGATAACGGCGGAGCAGGGGTGCTAAGAATCCCCGGCAGATAAACCGCTACCACCCCCGACGAACTTTGGCCCTGGCAACACACAACATCCGCACACTGCGGACCGATGAGAAGATTGTCGAGCTGGAGGACGAATTGAGCAAAATGCGTTAGGATATCTTAGGACTGTCTGAAATCCGAAAAGAGGGCCAGGATACGATGGTCCTGGATTCCGGCAACTTGGTCTTCTTCCGGGAAGGAGATCAAAAATCCCAGGGTGGTGTCGGATTTCTCGTCCGCAAGTCCCTCGTGAACAACGTGAGTAAAGTTGACAGTGTGTCGAGCAGGGTAGCGTACCTTATAATCAGAATATCACACCGGTATTCGCTGAAGGTCATACAGGTATACGTGCCGAACTCGACACACTGCGATGATGAAGTAGAGGCTCTGTAAGAGGCAATTTCCCAAGCCATACACACCTCCGAAGCTCACTTCACCGTTGTCATGGGAGATTTCACCGCGAAGGTGGGCACAATGAATGACGAAGAGCTGAGAATGGGGCCATATGGGCAGCGAAACCGTCGGGGCCAGCGGCTGGTCGACTTTATGGAGAGGGAGAGACTTTCTGATGAACTCCTTCCGAAAGCGACCAGCTAGGAGGTGGGCGTGGATAAGCCCCGATGGTTATACCAAAAATGAGATCGACTTCATCATGGCAAGACAAGCGTATATTCAGTGATGTCTCTGTGATAGCTAAGGTGAAAACCGGCAGCGATCACCGTATTGTCAGAGGCACACTGAATGTCAATGTCAAGCTGGAGAGGTCACGCCTGGTGAGGTCCACACTCCGTCCTGGTCGCGCCCAGGTCCAGAACCCCGAACAGTTTCAGCTCCAACTGCATAATCGCTTCCAGTGCCTGGCTGAGTGGAAAACGATTGACGAGTTAAATAATGGGTTAGTGGAAACTGTCCAAGCGGTGGCCTCAAGAGTTTTTCAAAAACCCGCGCCGAAATAGACCTCAAAAGCTCTCGAAAGAAACACTTAAATTATTGAAAGACCGACACGAGATGCGGCTGCAGTCTTCAGTTGACATATGGCGAACTCAATAGGCGAATTTCAAAGTCTATGCGATGCGACCTGCGTGCATATAACGCCGCACGAGTCAGGGATGCCATAGAGCGAAATCAGGCTCAAAAGTATTCGCTAGGAATTCGTCTATTAGGCAAAGCCAAATGACGAAACTGAAAAAGAAAATGGCAGCATCGTTTCGTCGAAGTCAGAGATTCTGAGAGAGCTCGAAGGGTTCTACGGACAGATATACACTTCGACACGGCAACCCATTGTTGGTACAGCTTGGGATCCAAGAGCTAAACTGACACGGCACTACACCGAGGATATCCCAGACATCAGCCTGTATGAGATTAGGGATGGCTCTCAGTCAGCTCAAAAACAATAGGGCACCTGGTGATGACGGAATCACAACAGAACTTCTGCGAGCGGGTGGAAAACCGATACTTTTAGTCCTCCAGAAACTATTCAATTCCCTCATTCTCAAAGGAACTACGCCGAAAGCATGGCAAAGGATTGTAGTGGTTCTGTTCTGCAAGAAGGGTGACAACTCCTTATTGAAGAACTATAAACCCATCTCACTTCTGAGCCATGTATATAAGCTGTTTTCGAGGGTCATCACGAACCGTCTCGAAAGCAGGTTTGATGACTTCCAGCCTCCCGAACAAGCCGGGTTCCGGAAAGGCTTTAGCACCATAGACCATATTCATACGCTGCGGCAAGTGATACAGAAGACTGAGGAGTATAACTTGCCACTATGCTTGGCGTTTGTGGACTATGAAAAAACCTTTGATTCGATCGAGACCTGGGCGGTGCTGCAGTCTCTCCAGCGATGCCATATCGACTACAGATATATCGAGGTGCTAATAAAGTGTTGGTGTATAGAAACGCCACCATGCGCATCCGACTCCGAAGATAGCACGGCACCAATCCAATTGCAGGAAGGCGTAAGACAGGGAGACGTGATTTCTCCGAAACCAACGCATTGGAGGATGTTTTCAAACTCTTAAACTGGAGTGGACTGGACATCAATATCAATTGCGAATACATCACACACCTCCGCTTCGCCGATGACATAGTCATTATGACGGAGTCGCTGGAGGACCTAAACACCATGGTCAGCTCAGCTTAAAATTAACATGGACAAGACCAAAATCATGTCAAACATCCATGTTGCACCTGTACCGGTCATCGATGTCCTCGAAGCTGTAGACCATTATACATACTTAGGGCAGATTATACAGCTAGGTAGGTCCAATATCGACAAAGAGGTCGCCCGAAGAATCCAACTTGGATGGGCAGCGTTCGGGAAGTTACGCGAAATCTTCTCATCGAAAATCCCTCAGTGCCTAAAGACCAGGATGTTCAACCAGTGTGTGTTGCCGGTGATGACGTATTGTACCGAGACGTGGTCCCTGACCTCTGGCCTTCTGGAGAAGCTCAAAGTCGCTCAGCGTGCGATGGAGAGAGCTATGCTCGGGGTTTCTTTGCGCGATAAAATCCGAAATATTGGAAATTCGCCAACGAACAAGAGTTACCGACATAGCTCGCAAAATCTGCAGACTGAAGTGGCAATGGGCAGGCCACGTCGCTCGAACGGCTGACGGCAGATGTGCCAGGAAAGTCCTTGAGTGGAGACCACGGACCGGAAGAGATAAGCGTGGGCAGGCCTCCTGCTAGGTTGACCGACGACATCGCCAGAGTTGCGGGGAGCCAGTGGATGCAGGTGGCGAGTTGTCGTTCGACGTGGAGGACTAAAGGGGACTTTGTCAAGCAGTGCAGCGGCTTCGCTCGCGTCCCCGTGGGATAAAAGGTAGCCTATGTGTTATTCCAGACAATAATCTACCTCTGTTACAAATTGTATCCCGCTCCCTTCAGCCGTATTGAAATGATTGAGTAACAAACATACACACAAACATATTTTATGTTAATTAATTAGAGTATTTCTAATCTCCACAGTTGGATGAGAGTGCAGAGTTCATTCGCGGTGCTCACGCCGCGCCGCACTCCTCTGAGCTAGAACTGACGGACTGCAATCATGGTCAGTATAAATAATAATAATTATTATTATGTTTGTAGTTCTTCATTACAGATAATTTTCGAACCTCTATCATTATAAAGGCATTTCTATTAATTAATCCCCATAGTTGTCAGACGAGTTAGGACCATAATTTGGTCACCAAAATGTGGGGTTGAGTATCAAAGAGTTATTCTAAAAGTTTACTGCGATCCCCAGCCCGTGTTCCAAGTGCGGTGATTAATGGAAAGTGTTGCCCCGTTGTCCCGCAGAGTGTGCATGTGTGCGCGAGTTGTGCTGGCGCCTGTCGAGCGTGCAGCTGCAGCGCGCGCTGCGCTCGCACCGCGCCGCGCTGGCCGCGCTGCTGCACGAGGCGGCCCGCCGCGGGACGCAGGTAGGGCCCGTTGTCACAGAGTGTGTGCGCTCGCACCGCGCCGCACTGCTGCACGAGGCGGCCCGCCGCGGGACGCAGGTAGGGCCCGTTGTCACAGAGTGTGTGCGCTCGCACCGCGCCGCGCTGCTGCACGAGGCGGCCCGCCGCGGGACGCAGGTAGGGCCCGTTGTCACAGAGTGTGTGCGCTCGCACCGCGCCGCGCTGGCCGCGCTGCTGCACGAGGCGGCCCGCCGCGGGACGCAGGTAGGGCCCGTTGTCACAGAGTGTGTGCGCGAGTTGTAGGGCCCGTCGGTACTCCCACAACCGTGAGCCGTGGTTGACGTTTTTTAAGTTCGTCGGTGGTAAGGCCAGATGATGATAGCTGAACTGCATCCTTGACTTTTTCAGCGTCTTCCTTGGTTTCAGTGCTAATTATAACACCCCTATTTTGAGTTTTACTGAGTCCTCGGACTATTCATCCAGGCGTATTATTTTCTGGACTAGAGTTTTGGATTCGTCCCTGGACCGTACCGATGAGTTCATAGGGTAAATAGCGACAGAGCTCAAATTGTTGGGACGCACGAAGTTCTTACCCTTTTTCACCATGTCAGCAAATGAATTATTATTTCCCATTCCAGTAGAGTCTTTGATTGTATTCTTGATCTCCGAAATTTGATCTGCCAGGTCACGTCTCTCCTTTAGGTCATCGATGATGTTAATAGCTAGGCGGGACTTTTGTTTTAGAGCTTGATACAAAATTGCCATTTGTGAAACGCTGGATCCAAAATACCAATGTCGATTCTACCGACTTTATAATTCGAAATGGTTTCTAGTTCTTTATGAGTTAAACGGGTAAACGAGCAGACGGATCAACTGATGGTAAGTAATCGGCACCGCCCATAGATACTCAGAACACCAGAAGCGTAACAAATGCGTTACCGGCCTTTTGATGAATAAGAATTAAAGGACTATTGGGGATTCAGGACGAAACACAACGTTGTTTCACTATGGTTTTCTGCTCAGCCGTGGTATCACTCACAGGTCGAGCCGACCCAGTAGGGCCAAATTATGACTCTCCCATACTTTGCTTAACAAGAAATACTTAGCTTCTTCTAATATTCCACAGTTCACCTCGACCTTGCAGCCAACAGTCCCCCTAGACGTGCCAGTCCGCGACACCGACCCCCCGGTCCCCCACCCCGACCCCATACTTGGGGGCTCGCACCGCGCCGGCAGAGGGCGGGGCAGGCTACACCAACTTGATAACAACCTCTTTGGCCTAGGACGAGGGAGAGCATACAGGTTGTAATTGTAAAATAACTACAAAATGATATTAATTGTCATAATCATCATTCTGTAATCACAGCTGACCAAAGCCTCTTCTCGCACGGAGAAGGTTTGAGCATTAATCACCACGGTTGCTCAATATAATTAGAAAAAGCCGGCAGGTTTATCTCACGATGTTTTCCTTCACCGTTTTTGTCAGTGGTGTACTTATAAATAATCTTAGAAAGTACTGTATCCTTAACCTTGAGAAGCGACCACTTTAATCCAACACAAAAAGAATGAATTATAACTAGCCAACCTGGGAAACGACGTACCGCCTCAAAAAATTTTTTTTCACCCTTTAAACCTTCCATGGACTTCCACGGACATTTCGAGATCAAAATAAGCCAAATCGGTTCAGTCGTTCTCGGGTTTGAGCGAGACTAACGAACGGAAATACATTTTTATTTACATAGATGATTTCCGGTTTAGTCACGTAACAAGGGAGTCGGCTAGTCTTGCGTCTCATAAACAAATAGCCCCTGATAAGGCTTGAAACTAGTCGAGATCCACTGTTCGTGAGACGACCTGGTAAAGGTCTTGGCTTTCAGCCTCGCGATGTGGAGTCATTGGGGAGGACTGTGGGAGGCAGTGGACAGTGCGTGGTTGTATGCATGATGATGGTGATGATGCATCAGTGAAAAACAAAAGTATATGTATACTCCTTATACTCCTCAATTTCCTGTCATTTAGACCTCATATATATAATATGCATATATTGTTAGGGATCGGATTTTCGATACTTATATACTTTCCTGTAAAATAAATAGAAGGGTTTAGTAATAAGACGTTACGATTCTTATTATACTATCATTATTCTTCTGGGTAGGTACCAACAAAAAAAACAGACTTAAAACAGAGCTTTTTTTAAACCTTAAGCTTTTCATTTAATGGCTCCCAAATGGACAGAATGAAATTTATTTACAATGTGAATTTAGATATTTTTGATAACCAGGTTCATTGTGATATTCATAAACAAAATCATTCAAATATCTTGGTAAATTTTCTTTTTTTTTTGTGAGCAAAATTGGACATATAATACGTCACTGATACCGGTATATCGGTATACGGTTGTATCGGGAATCCGATCCCACTATATATTTACATATAAATAAATAGTATTAGGTAATCAGAGTGTTCCTATTTAGTAAATAAATTGTATAAGCAGAGTACTAACTAATAAAGTAAAGATTTTCTCAATGTAAAGACTGCCTCGTTGGCCGAGTCGACTGTTGTTGCAAGTGCCACTGCCGGGCAAGGGGTCTCGGGTTCGATTCCCGGGTCAAGCAAATTATTACTGGTTTTTTAAAATTCTCAGTAGTACCACGGAATCTGGAAATGTGCCCGGTATATATCTGGAAATAGTAAAAAGAGGGTGTTACATTGTACAGTGGTATTAAATGCCGTAATGTGCACCTCTGCATATCCCTTCAGGGACAAAAGTTGTGATGTTATGTGTTATAAAGTTTATTACTTTAGTAAATATACAAATGGTTATAGGGAAGATGTCCGCCGTACTCAGAGTCGTTGAATGGTAACTGAACCCAGTTCTTAGAGATGGTTTCCGCAACAAAATCGTTACTGAGGAGTACTTTAAGTCGTCATTCAATGTCTCTTGAGTACGACTGCGGTAGTGATACGACATTAAAGTTACTTTCATTAATCATACTTTCGGCTTCCTCAAGTAACTCTTTGACGAGGAACTCGACTAGTTAGTAGTAGCTGCTCATGAATATGAGCCTCTAGCATGGCTTGAAACTAGTCGAGTTCCTCGTCAAATAATTACGTGAGTAAGTCGAAAACATCATTAATGTAGTATGTATCGCGAAAGGTTTAATATAAACAATTAATTTTCAATATTTGTGAAGATTTATTGTTTCTTTAATACTTAAATTGTAGAAGTACCGTAGCTTCTTAACTTGTTTTGGACTCGCAGTCGGGTAAAGACGACAAATGGAACGAGTTGGTTACGTAGTCTACATCTGACAAGGAAACCAATTTTTTTAAGTACCAAAGAAATAATTATATCAAGTTTAACTTAAATTGTAGAAGTACCGTAGCTTTTTAACTTGTTTTGGACTCGCAGTCGGGTAAAGACGACAAATGGAACGACTTCGTCACGTAGTCTCTGACAATAAAACGATTTTTTATGTACAAACGAAATAAATCATTTTCATTTTTTTTCTTGTATTTAAAAGGCAATTACAAATTTTAAGTGCAAGTAATAAGGTCGGTTTTTACATACAATGGTAATACAAGAAAAACAGTCTAAATATTGGTATTATATTCGTTCACTACATGCATCTTCCCTATGACAAATATCTTTGGCTATAGAATGCTGTGACATTCATAGCCTCTGTGTGATTGTGATCTCAAGTGTTTTGTTTTATGTCAAATTGTTGTAATATTACAGATGGCAGTAATATTAATGTTTGATTGTAAAGTATTCAGTACTTTGTCTGTAATATGTGATTGTGATACAAAGTGCGCGTCCTCTTGTATTTTACTCTTATTAAAACATTTATTTTTGTAATTTATATTGTTTTATTTATGACTGCCTCGTTGGCCTAGTGGTCGCAAGTGCGACTGCCGAGCAAGGGGTCTCTTCGTTTCCCGGGACAGGCAAAGTATTACTGGGTTTTTAAAAAATTCTCAGTAGTAGCACGGAGTCTGGAGATGTGTCAGGTATATGGCAATAGGCTCACCCCTATTACATGGGAAATATTGAAAAGTGGGTGTTACATTGAACAGTGGCATTAAGTGCCGTAATGTGCACCTCTGCCTACCCCTTCGGGGATAAAAGGCGTGATGTTATGTTATTCACCCCTCTTCTGTATCTATTCACCCCGTTTTATCGTAAATAAATGACCTTTATGTACAATACAAAATAATGATACTTTATTGCACTCAATATTTGTAAGGTTAGTACATAAACAGTACCTACACGGTACAACAATAGTTTTATATCGCTAACTGCGATGACAATCATTCATTATAGTTAATTATAACTATAATATACATGTTTCACAAAGCATTTCATTGAAATTACAATATAATTATAATAGTAACTGGCAGAGATAGGTAAAATAAATGTTCGTTATTAGGGACTATAGCTTCGACCTTTGAACGAACTGAAGAACTAATTATACTAGGTAGATATAGGTATTACATAAAATTAAATATAATGGCTAACTTCCTTGGTATATGATTACCGTACGATCTACGGTAATCTCCTTTATTTATTTTAGATTTAAATCGCCATGTATCGCCTGAGGTTTCCTACTCAAAAATTACATCCAATAAATTCGTTTCTTAGTAATATAATTTTCTGGTAAGTATAAAATAGTGCGCTTATTCTGCGCAAAACATGACGTCACAATGTCCAGTCTCGCATGAAATTGGATAAAAAAACTTGACATCAAACTGAATTGTCCTCAATTTTAATTATTTGGAAACGTTTCTTATATTACATTCACTTAATACTACACTTAGTAGACTTATTTAAATAATACGTTAGTTATTAAATATTTTACTATTACCTACGGCCTGTTCTATTACTACCAATTAGGTTTCATTGAAAAATATTTTAAGAAGTACCTATTACAAGCATTTTCCTGGAAAATACATCAAATTATATGTTCTGTAGGCCCCTATAAAATAACAACACTCAAATCGAGATATCTTCTCAAGGTAGGTACAGTTGAAAAGAGATGCAAATATACGTGTATCCCTTTCCAACTGCACGGGCCTTGACCTAACAGAATTATAAAGAAATTCCTGAATCAAAAACTGTTGTGAATCAAGCCCCAAGTCATTTCTTACTAAATTTTACGAATTATTTCATCAGTTCAAGCATGTTTAGTTCTCTCCCGGAACATGAGTGGTAGACCAGCCTTGATGCTCTGCACTATACTGGAGAGTGGATCCACGACAGGATGCCTCACTGTCTCCTTGGCAGGTTCCACCGTGAAGCAAGACAGCACTGCTGCCAGCCCGGCTAGTGACTGCATCAGACCTAGGCGCTCACCTGGAACAGTAAAATGTATTGTTAATAATATAATCAGGGGCATACTAAACCTAGAGAGCACCCTAAGCAAACACTTCACAGGCGCTCACTCTGTCACCCTGGGCAGTTGGGCACGCGCCCTTTTGTAACGTAGCGCCCCAGACACTTGCCGATACGGCTCTGAATATAGGCATAAATGCGAATGGAAGATAAATGCGATACGACTTACACTAGTGTGAGACACTATGTAAAAGTCAAGGTCAAAGCGTTTATTGCACTATGTCTCATAAAGCTAACTAATATCCGGAGAAAGGCAATAGATGTTTTAATAATTATGTGCCCTATCTCTACCTTCATCCCTAATCCGGCAACGCAATTGTATGTGTTGCTATAGACATAGACACCCATGGGCGGTACCGATTGCTTACCATCAGGTGATCCGGCTACTGCTATAAACAGTCACCTGTACCATAAATAAATATTATGTGACTTACCTATACAAGCTCTGGGTCCGCCTCCGAAAGGTAAGTACACGTATTTGTTGTTAGCGTCAAACTCGTCCGGCTCGAACCGTTCCGGGCGGAACACGTGCGGCTCGGGGAAGTACTTCGGGTCATTGTGCAGCGACTGGAGAGGAATTAAGGCTCGCACGCCCTCTTCTATCGTCAGGTTCAGCTCCGGGAACGTGAATGACTTCGTACACTGTCGCAACAGGAACCCGAGCGACGGGAACATACGTAGCCCTTCCTTGAACACGTTCTCCAAGTAGTGCATCTCTCTAATTGCGTCGTACGACAGCTTCCCGTCGTGTTTGGCCAACACGCGGTCGATCTCCTCCTGCGCCTTCTTCTGCACGTCCTGGTGATACGCTAGCTGATGTAGAGTATAGCTGGTCGCTGATGACGAGGTCTCGAAGCCAGCGGCAAAGAACACAAACACTTGAGCAAGAATCAGCGAGTCGGTGAACTCCAGAGTGACTGTCTCCGCGGTGCCGTCGGGTTTCTTATTCTGTATCGACTCTCCGACCATCACTCCCTTCTGCTTACACTCCAACATTAAATCTAAGAAGTCTCCTCTCCCGCAGGGCTTGTAGTCTCTCTTCTTCAATATCTCTACGACAAGCTCGTTGATGTCATTCTCCACTCGAGTCCATATCTTTAGATTCCTGCCCAGTTCTGGAAATAATTCTTTTGCAATGGCTATAATAATTTCTTGAGGTCTCATTTTAAATATTTTAATTCCGAGCTGTCTGAACGGTGAGTCCTCATCGTTCAGTGAGTCGGCGTCGAGTCCGAAGCCACAGGCTCCTATGAAGTCAGTGGTATACCTCGCCATCAAGTCGCGCGCGTCCAGAGACTTGCCTTCAGCGGCCGCAGTCAGCGCTCGTGTCTTCAGTTTTTCTGCTCGTTCAACGATTAGCGGGAACATTGCCTTCAGTTTGCCTGTAGTGAAGGCCGGTGTCATTCTCTGTCTGAGCAGCTTCCAGAGATCTCCCTCAGCGAAGAACAGGTTCTGCATCAGAGGCTCAAACACTGTCTTATGGGGAGTGAAGCCACGCTCGAAGAAGTGGGCAAAGTCAGTGATCAGGATACGTTTCGCAATTTCTGGATCTCTTATGAGTAACTCGGGTCGCGAGGAGCGGTAGAATCCGACGACTTTTTCGTTGGGATATCTCCAGTAGATCTCGTCTGCTACTTGTGTCATGCTGGACCGGAACAGGTAGCCCTGCAGGTTGTTTCCGAACAGTGGGAGTGGCTTATCATGTTTCACTCCTCTGTCCTCCCAGTACTTGAAGTTCCTCGTACCGTAGAAGTACAGAGTGATGAGCAGCACCACTACTACGGCAATGACGATCATCTTGCCAGATAATACTGCGAGATATTTCAATAGAGGGCAGCACTAGAGCTTCACGATCTGCAACATAATACTGATAGTTTACCGACTTACTTATCTTAATATTTGGATAATTATATAAACAAACAGTTTTGTTGTATCATTGTAGGTATTAAATCATTTAGATAACATTATCATACAAGTTGTTGATAAAGTTGTTGATTGTGACTTAAAGGTATTATAGGCACTTTGTTAAATTATGAATTGACAAAGACCTAGGAACAATTTGCAACTATTCAAATGAAAGCCGCTAACTAGCCGCAATGTGTTACATACATAGGAGGGAACTGTAACCGCAGCAGCTCGTATCATTATGAAATAAATAATATCGAACAATAAATCTTAAGGAAAATATTATTTGACATTGAATCTTACAAACCGACTGGTTTGCAAGACTTTGTTTACATTTAATTTATTAAGTCGGTGAGTATAGACCTACCTATTTTTAAACACAACATCTACCTTAATTCGAGAATATGTATGTAGTTAATAAAGAGACTAGTATGATAAGAAAATACAAACATTTCCGAAATCCGACTAAGATCGCGATAGTCCGTCTGTGCTTGTCAAAAAAAACGACGCAAGTTGGTTATAACTACTCCCCTACTCATTATACAACGATAATCAAAATATAATGAAACACGAATTAAAATACCATGCAGAATTTGGTATGTACTATAGATAGGTAGGTACCTATTTCAATTAGGCGCCCCACCTAATTGAACGACGCCGTTGAAAACACAAAAAAACTGTGAGTTTTATTAACAAAGTACTAAACTATACATTTCTCCGACGCTGTTATATAATCTTGTATAATAAACTTAATCAAAATAATAATATTAACGTATTTAGCAAGGAACTTACCAAAAAATAATATTTAAAACACAATGTAAACAAGCGCGGATGTATTTCAGCACAAAAACTGCGCGTCAGCTCGCGTCCGCGGCGAGCGACTGTGTGTGTTTGGTATACTCCACAATAACAACGCAGGATATAAATAGAGCCGGCGTCGCGGAACCAGATAACTCACAGATTATAGCTATCTGCCACTTGCACTGGAGTACCGAATGTTTTATTTAACACTTTTACGTGTCATGGTATCGATTTGTTACGCCTACTGGTAGGTTTCGAGAGGTTCGATGTATCGTGAGCCGTGACATGACCGTGCATATTTATATCTTTAATTATGTAGTTATTGTATTTTGATAATCTTCAGGCTGCATTGTGTGGACTTTGCACTTGCAATATTAATGTTAATCAAAAGTATGTGACTAGAATTCAGTCTGAAGCTTTACTCGCAGTACCTACTCAAATCTTATTATACTTCCTTCCTAATCGCTGATGATATAAAAAAACACATGCAAAGGACATCTTCGTGGTTGGCAACGCACTTATGATGGCTCTAGTATTGCTGGTGTACTTAATTCTACTTAGACTACGCCGGCTATGGTGCTGACTTACCATCAGACAGACCATAAGATTTGTTGCTATGGCAACTAGCGTAATACCTACTCTGGGTATTTGACATGTAGACCCCTGCATTACTAACATGTTGTTATTATTTAATATTCATAAGTAGTTTCGTCAGATTACAAAGTCCAAAGCTCGCGTCATTAATTACGTCTGGTCTACAACTCGTTTTGAAATGTAACGATGAATCAGCACAAAGCGCAGGCTGTTTCCATGATGAGTTACCTGCAGGATTTACCTACATAATGTTATTTGTTTTTGCATAGAGATTTACTTCATTTCACAATAGATAATGTTATTGCAGACATTAAACAATTTCATAGACTTAACATAATAAGAGCAAACCATAAGTTGTTTGTACAGATTGTATAGAGCAGTATAATCTCTAAGGCAAACTAGACAAGTGCCGGGCGCCAGGGTACAGAAGGCGCGGGCCCAACTGCCCATAAAGTGACGACACCATGGGGCGCCTATGAGGGGTTTGCCTAGGGCGCTCTCTTGGTTGAATCCGCCCCTGGAGCAAACCATAGCGTATCCATAATCATGACGTATCATATCACAGCTACTGACGGATGTGTAAGACTTAGGGGGTAGTGAGGTCCCTTAAGGCTGTGCCTCCTCCCCACAGCACAGCCTCCTATAGGCCGTACATTGAATATCTAAAGTAGCATGGAGCCTATAGGCACGGGCGGATACAACCTAGAGAGCGCCCTGGGCAAGTATAATAAATTAGAGGCGCCTATGGGGATAGGCGCCTCTAATTTATTATAGAGGCGCCTCTAATTTATTATAGAGGCGCCTATGGGATAGGCGCCTCTAATTTATTTTGGCGCCGCCACTTGATGGGCCGTTGGGCACGCGCCCTCTGTGCCCTGGCGCCTAGTACTTGTCTAGTTTGCCTGAGGAATAATATGGCTCTGTCTGTCTGAATGTTGCAGCTTCTCACTCAACAGCTTTAACGTAACAATCCCCAGCACTACATCAATCATGTATTTGTTAAGTTGCAGTAGCTCTGCAACTTAACAAATATGTACTCAACTCTACGCTACTGAACTCTATTACTCACCTCCAGAGAATGCATTCTGTCTAAAATGAACAGTTTGTTTCTGAGTGTTCTGCTAGATCAGGCTTCTACTTAGTACCTAATTGATTGTAAACAACTTAACACGTGTAAATGCATGCAGGTTGTCTGGTGTCTGTCCGTGTGTCCACGCTCAATATGTGAGTCACGCACTCTAACTAACTAACCATACAATCATACAAATATACGGTTCGTCGCATCGCAATTGTTCTTATAATAATTTGTACTAAAGTTCCACAACATACAAAAAACTGATGACTCAGCAGATTGTACAAAAGTAGTTTATTACTTTTAATAACCAGCTTGTGTACGAAACAGGTACAAGACAAGTTATTACCCGCCGCACGCCGGTAGATCAGCTGGCGGCGCGCAGCAGTCAAAGTTTGAGGTCATCTGTATATTGTGTAGAGTTGTAATTCGGTGCGCGGCCTGCGGGGCGCCGGAGCTATGGACTTTATTTCTAATGCGTAGGTGACCAGTTGACACTCATGTCTACCAAAATGGAGTCAAAGTCAAAGTCAAACTTCAATTAAACCATAATTTGGTATTTTTGAAACGTTAACCAATACAAAATAAATAATAATAAATAATAGAGTATATCAATTTTGTGTATGCACCTACCACACGCAACACACAGTCTGTGTCAAATATCGCATTTATTAAATAGGCATGTCGCTATAGGCAGGTGTATGAGCCGCGGAGAACTTAACGGGTTCCCGGGGCTCGCTCCGGTTTGAAGTGCAGGAGTACGAACAGGGTGGTTTTTAGTCAATAAGAGATTGATACTACCTCCCGCCCTATCCAGGAGGGAGAAGTCATTTGATGATTTCCCCCCCTTAAAAAAAAGGTAGGTGTATACTATGATGTAGGAACCTATGTACTAAATTTTTTGTTCGATCTGAGAATCTAACCATGACGCCTGTTGCTAAACTCAACAGCATTTTTGACTGAGAAAATTATAGACTATACTCACCACAGAAAAATTAAATTTTATGTATGATACCCACTCTTAAACTTTAAGGAACCCTTAAGCTAAGACAGGTAACACTTAATAACATTTTGGTTTTCATCAATCTAGAAGTGACACCTAAGAGTACAGGTAAGGGGTTAGTATCGGTGCTCCATCACGATAAGTAACTCTTAGGAAAGAGATGGTTGATGAAAACGGCGGTACAAAAAATAATATTGTCTTAATATTATAACTATTTATAGCTACATCACGGCTGTCCAATTAATATATTTACATGAACTTAGATGTACAGGTAATGATGCTAACTACCTCGTCACCTCGTCGCACTGTCATTAGCTGCATCAATATTACATCTGTGCAACTAACGAATATATTTTTCTTTAAAAAACATTGCCCCTCTCTAGGATTGTCTCCTGTGTCGTGTGTGCGTTTACAAACATACAAGTTCAGAGATACGTCATGTATATCTACCCAGACCCGAAATAACAATTTGTGGATCACACAAAGAGTTGTTATGTGCGGTAATCGAACCCACGACACATTGCGCGGCAGCCAGTTGCCCAGCCACGCGTGCAGTCTGGTAGTCCGTCCGTCGGGACTGGTTTTGTAAAATTAATTTCAACATGATTAATATTCATTCATCAAGTTTCCAAGGAGTTAGGTACTACAATACTATTCTATAGTTCACAGACTACTTACCTATTTTAAACTAAGTACTTGACGTCGGCAGATAGTGTTGAACGCAAATCTGCCGCTGACTCAGACCCTTAGGCAAACTAGGCGAGTGCCTAGGGCGCCAAGTTATTGAGGAGGGCGCTGCAATGGGTCCTAGGCTATATGGACAGTTCCATAGTCTGTTATTTGTTAGGGGCGCCAACGAGGTGCTTGCCTAAAGTGCTTTCTAGGTTTAATCCGCCTCTGCGCTGACTGTCGTGTATTAGATGCGTTAGAAACCAATTAGGCAATTAGCACATACATTATAGGTACCTTAAGCACCCCGGTGGCCACCCTCAGCACCTGTTAGTGCCACCAGGTCGAGACCAACTCCGGAAATGTCTATTACACCTAGACATTTTACAGATTGGGGTAGCTCTTAACTTCATGTACAAACGCCTTATCGGGTTAACAATTTTGGTTGGACCTTGAACACTGTGTAATTATATCAGTGCTTTGAACTTCATCACCCAAACAATGACTACAGCTACTACAGCTAGGTACAACACAACATGACCTGCAGTTTCCACACAATATGTGTCTTTGATATAAAAGTATAAATAGCTCAATTTTATATAACCAAGGACAATTGTATCCGCCTAGATAAATATTACAGATTTAGGAAAATTACGTATAATATGTAACGCGGATGTAGATAGATACTAGATATCAGGTACAGTTTAAATATAGTGTTATAGGTTTTGTTTACAAACATGGCCAGGTGGAGGGAAATTATTTCGTTATCAGATTTAAGTTATCAGGCAATATAATTCTACAATGGCGTGATCGCTTACAATATCTTTGTCGTGTCACGTTACAGAGATGCACTTATAAAAACTTTATTTAAAATTGCCTGTGGATACATAAGTATTTACGGATAGAGAATAGACATTTCTCATAGACTTTAATGCAGCAGGCTAACAGACGCGCTGACAGTGCACTTGATGGTACTCCAGAACTTTGATTATCCTAGTTTTTCCTTTATGTAGCCACTTAACCAAATTTCAGCTGAGTTTATGGAAGGTACCACTTCTATTTTGATGGTCACGAGTGAGTGAGTGTCTTAAATGCGAATCTTTCCTTTCGTTCGCATAACTTTGGAACTAAATGACCTGTAGGTCTACTCTGATTCGACGAAAAACGAAGTTTCGGACGAAACTTCGAACATTACCTACCACAATGGCATTTATTACGAACGAAAAAGGAATGAAATGAGCCAGAAATTAGTATGAGATGTACTGTTTGACATCGATATTTTCGGAACCCTACTCTAATTGTACAATCCGCACGAACGAAAATTCGAGTTTGACAGATTATTCTTCGGACGTTTAATGTCATTTCAACGAAACCAAAATAGTTATCGTTTGATTTTCGTTTGGGTTAAATTTATTGAAAAATGAAGGAAAGTAATTATAAGTCTTCGTTTTGTCACGGTTTCTTTGTGTGGGCAACACGTAGGGCACCAAAAGAACTACTTAAATGACGATATAAAATCAATGTACAGTCAGCTCAAATAGTTCGTTAACACGAACCTATTTATTTTATATGTCTATGAGAGTTAGTAACATTTGGGTTAATCAAATACTTATTTCAATAACTTATGTATTGAACATAAATGTTTAATGAGTAATATTTTATTTTAAAACTAATAATACCGCTAGAAAAATTAACTTAAGTATTGCTAGTATATATTTTCGCTATTCTTTCACATCTATTACTATACCAACATTTATAGATAAGATAATTTTTTTCAAAAATATATTGTTAATCATCATAACACGAAATAATTTAGTCTCTTCAAATTCTCATGTAGACATTTATAATTTTTAAACTGACTGTACTAATATAATACGAATAAATTTGGTTGTCATTATTTTATACATAAATGTCAATAAATGACAAAAAAAACATTCTAAAACTTTTTAACTTGGTCGTATAATACATTTTTGAAAGGAGGTTCTTATCCTGCTTAAGATTTTTCAACTTAAACGTTAATATTAAAAGATTATTCATGATTTTCTTGATGATTATGTGTGCTTAGCCATGGCATTATGATTTTAGTAATATAATTACTTAAAATAAAATTTTATATTTAATTTCGAATCTAAACCTACTTATTGCCCATTTATTTATCTTCACTTCATTCGTTCATTGTAGTTCACGAAAGTTGTCTATGGTTCCGAAAACGTTGTTTGCCGCCGCAAATCAAACGAAACTTCGCATTCGAGAACCGGAGTAGACCTCCTGTAGACTTGAAATTTTGGATTTTAAGTATGTGATTATAGCTTACTGGATGATGAAAATTTCTGCGTTCTGGTCTTATCTAGAGGTTCTCAAATAGGGGCCTTAAAATGCGGTGAAATGGTTCCAGTAAAGGAGGGTACGGCAGTGTTTGCTGGACACCCGCTGCACTAGAGGAGTTTCAAGAGCGTTGCTGGTTTTTTGAGGGGTGGAGATTTGAGGATTGGGGATTGGGAGGAGGATTGAAGCTCCGGAAACTCACTCACATAGCTTGACGCAACGCTCTGGTCGTTTCACGCCAGTTTTAGTTCTCTGTTTGACGAGGAATTCGACTAGCAGTATCCCACGGCACACGACGCGACGACTGTCGCGTTGCTACTGTCTACTCGAGTCTGCGGTACGGATCCAGCGCGCCCTTTGGCTTAATGGTCTCCAGCTTGACTTGAAACTAGTCGAGTTCCTCGTCAAATAACTACGTGAGTAAGCCGAAAACATAATAATTAATAAAAAATTATGTAACAAATGACATAATGGTGTGAAATAAAAGAGAGTATTGGAAACAAACGTAATGTATTTATTGCTTACAAGTAGTTCACTGTACAAACACACAACGTAACTCTTCTTACAAACAACTCGTGGGATATAGCGTGACAGTGCGCACGCGACAATACACCTTACTCTATATAATAATAGGGGACATTTTAGATAAACAATTATAACAGAACATTATAATTAAGTTTGGTATTAATTTATTGAGATATTTTACGATTAAATTAAATATAGAAATACATCAAAGGGATGATGGCGAAGTATTGCGACTAAAAAAAACGAATCAAAGTTTAGGGTCTGAGCTAAAACGTCAATTCTACGGTTAAAACGCACCTAGAAGTGACGTCACGCGACATTTCAAGGCAATACATCGTCGAAACTACTTGTTTCTGTAAGAAAATAAAAAGTACTCGTCCAAAGTTTTAAAATATTCTACGGGCGGATATTTAAATATGAATGAATCGTCTCCTCTATTAACAATGACTGAAGGAAGACACCAGGTTCGTTTCTACAACATTTTTGACATTTTTGTAAATCAATCTTCGAGTAACTTGTTAATATAAAGATAGTTGTAATGTATTCAATAAAAATATTATCGTGGTAATTACCAACTTGTATTACAACGAGTAGGTCGGTGTAGGGAGACGGGCGCACTGCACGATACTTCATATTACGACACAAATATTCTAAACAATAATCGAGTTCCTCCGAAATGTTGTCACAGCAACTATTTCTGAAACTCTAACTAAACATTCCCCAGTACAATATATACTTATTCAGTGGTTTGTCACTCACCAGATGACGCAAATGTAGCGTGAGGTCTCGTTTATCTAATAGACAATCAGCCCAGTATGAATTAATAAAAAATCGCGGGTTACTCTCGGGAAAATCTCTACTAGTTTCGAACCACAGAGGGGTTCTTCCTCATGAGCAGCGTGCGCGGTCGCGGCGACGTCGCGCAGCCTACTGATAGTAGCCAGTATATTCACGTGAATAGCCCGCGAGTTTTAGTTAATGTAGTAGCTCACGATAGTTATTATAAAAAGGCTTAGTAAGAGTTTATTTTAACGTTACCGCCTTCACCGCTTCTGATTGGTTGGTTCATTGGAACCGGCCAATCAAAGAGACTACAGAGAGTATCTGGTGAGCAAACAAACAAGTACAGCCGAATTGATAACCTCCTCCTTTGAAGTCGGTTAAAAATACGACAGCCAGCGTTATTATAATTATATTTATTTTAAAGTAGTTATTAAGTACAGGAACATTGCGTCGAGTGCATTGACTGGACTCTTCAACAATAATAAAGTTTAACATTTTTACAATAATTTGGCCCCTAGTTACATTTACATTGTGAGGTGATGCAGAGGCGGACTAAACCTAGCGAGCGTCCTAGGCAAGTACCTTATTGGCGCCCCTGATTTACTTTGGCGCCTCCACTTTATGGACAGTTGGGCACGCGCCCTCTGTGCCCTGGCGCCCGGCACTTTCCTCAAGTATAATACGGCTCTGCTCACCTGGACATTCAACCTCGCTACCATCAGTTGACTGGACTATCTCTACACTACATAGCCTACAACTGCTACAAGACTACTAGAGACTCGCAGTGACGTGATGGATATAAATGGACGGACAAACAGTCGTATTTTAACTATACTATAATAATATTATGCTATGGTTGAGCGTCGACTTATTACAGGCCCCGAGTAACATGATACAGTATTTAGTAATTATAAAGATGACGTCATATCATAGAGAGGTAGACAGAGGTGCACATATACACTTGGCATCAAACAAACGGAGCTGCCAGCGATTCTTTCATTTCTTCAAACCCTGTGTAACTTTAAAATAAGTAATTATTTTACAACAAAATGCTCTCAATTTAAAGGTAACTAAATTGCCTTTTATACGACATACGTTACCAATTAATAAAATACTTGTCTTAGGAAATATTAATCAGTTTTTTTTGTGTGGGAGAGCCATGCTTCGGCACGTATGGTTCGACTTGACCGGTGTGGTACCACGGCCTCAAAGAAAACCGACGTGATACAACACTAGCGTTGTGTACCGGAGGCCCAATTACCAAAGTCTCCCCAATCCCCGAATCCCCCACAAACCTCAAATTCCCAAAAGGTCACTAACGCACTTGTGACGCCTCTGGTGTTCCGGGTGTCCATGGGCGAAGCCGATTGCTTACCATTAGGTGATCCGTCTGCCCGATAACGGCTTATCCCTTAAAAAATACGACATATGTTACCAATTAATAAAATACTTGTATCAGAAAAAGAATATCAAGAAATGACAAAGAAAAGTGTCTCCGTTTCGTTGCTCCCACCTGGGAGACTACATTGTAAGAAACATCCACTCCCCACCAGTTGTGTTATGAGTACCAGTAGGTCATTCCTACTGCATGGGACTGTGGCCATGTATCAAGTATTCCGTATTATATCAAGCCAAAACAAAAATACACAATCAACTGCGTAATACGGAATCGATAAGACATACATCAGACAGAATCGACAGTAAGAATTTTAGAGAAATGTTCAACTTCAAATTCATGTTATTCAGGGCCTCTCTACTTACCTACTTCCACTTATTGAGCGACAGTGATATGTCATATAAGTCTATTACATTAACATGCAGTCGACTCTCATTTATTCAAACCTTCGATAATTTGAACCTCTCTGTAATGGGTGTACCGCATTTTTGGTCACTACATGGGGTTAGTGCGATCCTCTCGATCTTCGTCCAATAGGGAATTAGCTAATGTCACACCATTGGACGTTCAATATTTGACAGATGCTGTGGTTGGACAAAAACACTTGTTGCTACATTTGCTCCATTCGAAGTTGTATATTTCGAATACATTTTTATACACTTGGTAATTCGAACAAAAAAGACACTTTTACGACCAAATGACTCGATAGTACGAACGTACGGGCGTCGAGCTCCCGACAGTCACAAGTTGCAGAGAGATAGGGACAGAAAGATCTCAGAATTTCCAAATTTACGCGCGTATATTGAAAGGCAGGTCAATTTTAACTTGTACTTAAATATCGTGCCATCTCTGTCATTTTATAAATAACTAACGACCTGCCCCGGCTTCCCTCGGATGCAATATGCATGTATTTATACATATAAACCTTCCGTAAGAATCACTATCTATTAAAAAACCGCATCAAAATCTATTGCGTAGTTTTAAAGATCTAAGCATACATAGGGACAGACAGACGGCGGGTAGCGACTTTGTTTTATGCTATGTAGTGATTTGTACTGACAGTACTATACTTAGTGCCTTGTTCGCACGACGCTAGTAACGCCAGTCGAGTTGCGATTATTTAGCAGTTCTCTCTCACTTCCATTTTGAGACAGAAGCGATAGAAGACTACTGAATATTCGCTACTCGACTCAAATACTAGCGTAGTGTGAACAAAGCATAATATTTGGACCATAGAGGTATTCGAAATATTTTAAGAAGTTTCCAGTTTCGAATGAACGAGACTCGACTGTAATTATTATTATACAAAATCTATTGATAATTGCAACGAACGCTAAATTCGATAAACACTTATATTACACGAAATTAAATAAATACACTAACTCTGGGATTGGCCCGCGAACAAATACTGTACATTACTGTCCTGGGCCAACATTCATAAATAATCGATTAATCCATAACCTTTGAATCGATTTGAGTTCTTGAAAGAAATGCGATATAAAGTAGTTGGTAAACTTAAATTAAAATATTAACATAAATAGTATTTCCTGTAATTAGAACATAATATTAAATAATAATCTTACTTAAGTAATATTCTCGAAGATGCTCAACTATTTTCGAACAACATCGCCGACTCATAATTATGAGCCCCGGTGTGACTCGAAATTAGTCAAGCACCGTCGAAAATTATACGTAAGACGGGCGTACATAGTATTTAGTTTCAACCGTTACTTGCATTTCTCTCAATATTTATTTTTACAACTCTAGCGTCTCTATATATAATAGTTATTGTAATACAAAAACTGACCGACATCGGCCATTGGACGGAACACACGTATACACTATACATATTAGAATCAATATAAATGCAAGTTTCATAGGACGTAAGTAATTAGTACTATTAAAATTAAATGAACTTCGTGTTATTTCACCCAGATAAGAAACACTGCCTTGTGGTATTCGACTACGACCCGAACTGTAATATTATTATTACGAATGTAAAGTAAAATGTACTAAAGTAATTTTGTCACCTCTCCGCTATATCTTATTTTATTTATTTACGGCATAATATTAACAACTACTGCTGGATCAAATACAAAGAAGAACTCAGGCTAATTAATGCAGGCAAAGTCGTTGGTTAGGAATATAAACTTTAACAAATAAATACATTCCCTTTGCTCAGTTCTGAAGTCTTGGTTCTGTTGTCATCTGGCTGAAACGACTGAAGACAACACTCCTCATATTGTTACTAACTACACTCGCTTCAATTTCATATCAAAAATATTATTATTTGGTAATCTTAGTGATGACAGTTCTTGTTTACAGAAAAATTAATTAGTTAAATCAATAAATGCAGCACCTGTATGTAACCTATCATGTTACACACCCTGTATATGACATGGCATATTACACAGCCTGTATATAATATGTCATATTAGACAGCCTGTATACAATATGTCATATTACACATCCTGTATACAATACGTCATATTACACAGCCTGTGTACAAAATGTCATATTAGACATCGTATATAGATATAGCATGTTATATTACACATTGACATGGCATGTTACTAGGCGTCAGAACGTATATGAGAATAATAAATATAACTTAATAAATAAATATTTTTAGTATAATTTGAACCGGAACTACCTAACTACTGTAATAATATGTAATCGTATGAAGGTAATGAGGGCTTGGTACAAATTTGTTTAACGAGACCACGTTCGGCGCTCTAATTGGCCGGCTCCAGTGAACAAACGAACCAGAGCACCGGACGCCGTCTCGTTACGATTATTTTAAACGTAAAAGAAATTCTTACGCCCTCAGAGCGCCGCACGCGGTAACGTTTCGATGTCGTTAAATATAAAATTAAATCGTACGAGGCCCTTGGACTGACATTGCGATATACATATTTACATAATGTAGTCCCCGGCATGAACCATGGCAATATGTTCCGCGGTGGGAACAAGTTCGCGAATAATGTATTTTCACAGTTTTTTCAGTTTTTATCATAATTTAGTTTTAAACATATCTACTAGAAAACACGAACTTGTATTAAAGGACGAATATTGGGAACATACACAATACGTAAACTTACTCCCGCCATGATTCTTGCCGTAGTACATCGTCGCACGCGCGTGACGTCATAATGTCTAGTGAGGTAGTGACGTCACATTCAGTCGCCGCCGCTGTCGGAGGAGGAGTCGGAGTGTAGTCCACTAGTGGGGCGCTCAGTGCGGACTGTGGACGTCTCGCTACTGGTGGTGTTGGTGGAAGGGATGGTGAGCTCGCCGAGGAACTCACTCCTGTACAATAGAGTCGAGTGTCAGTATAGCTAGCTATGGCGACGTGTCACGGAAGCAGAGCCGTATGATCTCTAAGGCAAACTAGACAAGTGCCGGGCGCCAGGTACAGAGGGCGCGTGCCCAACTGCCCATCGAGTGGCGGCGCCAGAATAAATGAAAGGGCGCCAATGGGGTGCTTGCCTAGGGCGCTCGCTAGGTGTAATCTGCGTGTGCAAGTATGTTGGTGAAGTAGGGCACTCACACGAGGTCGTCGGTGGCGCCGTTCTTCCAGGCGAAGAACTCGTCTCCGAGGTTGAAGGTGAGGTTACTTCGCATCACCACCTTCACGGGCGCCGCGGACTGGTCCAGCGGCTGCAACCATCCACCCCGTGTACTACACACCCACTACACCGGAGCTACAGGTCGGCGCTATAGCTCCGGTCCACTACGCTTTAGGGTATTACCACAGCAATCGATCGACCAATCAATCGACATCGGTCGACGACGTTGATCGTTGATTTGGTGTGGTAGCTTGAATTGACCGACGGATACCGGTCGACTGACCAATCGCTCGAAGGCCGGTCGATGGTCGACTAGTCTGGTAGAAAGTGTCGATCGACGTCGATGGCTCTGGTCGATTGGTGTGGTAACACCCTGACGTCAGTGTCTGCTTCACGTGCCACGTCTACTTATACATACATAGAGTCGTTGCCTACAGCTCGCACAGCTCGACGTGACAGTGTACACGTATGAAAGTGTCGTCATTTCTAATCAAATTAGTCGTTTTTATAAAGGTAAGCGTTCTGTTGTCATCGCATTTCAACAAAGATACGTTCAATTCTATATCTTTTTCATAGGTAAACACTGAATGTCAATTCGCTCAGAGCGCCTAGTGCGAGTTTGTTTCTCGTTCTCTGATTGATCGGTTAGCTTGGAGCAATCAGAGCGCTGAACGTCATCAACGCGCTAATGTATACCACGGTTGCACTGAGCACTCAGTTATAATATATCGCTAATATTGAAGTATGCATGAGTCACCTCGTCCCGCGTGTACTCCAGGTCGATGTCCTGGCGGGGCTCGGTGTCGTGGTCACACAGCGGGCCGTGCACGTGGGGCTGCGGGGCGCGGGGG